TCGTTGATAAAGGAAAGGGTGTAATAGGACCAAAGCCAATTGGACCATGTTACAAAGGTGGCTTATATGGACACCTTTCGATAGCTTGTAAAAAGAATAACCCTCCTAGGATCAATTATATTAAGAAAGAGGATGACTTAGAAGGAAGTTGAATCTGAACCAGAAATTGAGATTGAGTTAGAACGGATTGATGTTGAAGGTGACTAAGGGGACCAATTTTTAGTTGTTCAAAGAGTCTTAACTACCAAAGTTAACATCAGAGGCAAATGGCTTCGGTGAAATATCTTTCGAACCACTTCCACTATTGAAGGAAAACTTTGTACCCTTATGATTGATAGTGGTAGCTCAGGAAACTTTGTCTCACAACTAATGGTAGACAAACTTAATCTAAAACCCAAACCACTTATTAAACCCTACAAGATATCCTAGTTTAAAGTAGGAGAGGTCCATGTCACACAACAATGCACTATTAACCTCTCAATTAGAAACTCCTATAGAGATCAAGTAGTGTGTGACATCATTCCCCTTGAAGTATGTCATATCTTATGGTCGTCCCTGGCAATTTGATTATAAGATAATTTACAATGGGGAAAGAATACTTACTCTCTCACTTAAAACAACAAAGAATTCACCTTGTACCCTAGAAGAATATTCCTTACCCTCCTGCCAAAATTACCCAATCGACAACAAAAGCAACCACTCCTGAATTACTTCTCAACACAAATGAGCTAAAAAATTCTAATGTAGTCTATTTGGTGTTAGTAAAAGAATCTGAGCAAACTTCTGAAATTCTCGTGTCAATACAACCATTGATTGAAGAATATTTTGATATAACCCTTGATGAGTTACCAAAATCATTGTCACCCATGAGAGATATTCAACACCACATCGACCTAATTCCTGTAGCAACTTTACCTAATCTCCCTCACTATCAAATGAGTCCTACTGAACATGATGAATTACATAAACAAGTGATTGAACTTCTGGATAAAGGTTTGATTAAGGAAAGTATTAGTCCATGTATTGTCCTAGCCTTGCTTACACCCCAAAAAAAATAGAACCTGGCAGATGTGTATAGACAAAGAGCCATAAATAAGATAACTGTCAAATATAGGTTTCCCATCCCCAGATTGGATGACATGCTAGACATGCTTAGTAGTGCAAAAGTCTTTTCCAAAATTAATTTGCGAAGTGAATATCACCAAATAAGGATTTGACCTAGTGATGAGTGGAAGACAGCTTTCAAAACAAAAGAAGGTCTGTATGAATGGTTAGTCATACCTTTCGGATTGTCAAATGCCCTTAGCACGTTTATGAGGATTATGAATCATATCTTACGGCCTTTCATTGGAAAATTTGTGGTAGTCTATTTTGATGACATCCTGATTTATAGTAAACATCCTAATGAACATCTTGAACATGTGGAACAAGTCCTACAAACCTTAAGAGAGCAAAATTTGTTCACCAATTTAAAAAAGTGTTCTTTAATGACGCAAAGCTTAATAACTTTATCCATCCATTATTTAGAATAAAATTGATCCATAAACATACTGGGAACCTGTTAACATCTTAAAAGCTAATTTAAAGCTTTATAAGTATCTTTATTTGAGAGTTGTCTTCACGATTTACGAGTGAAATCTCTTGAGCATTATATTTAAGAGATGTTTTTCTAAACAATCATGATTGATCATATTTAAGTAAATAGATGCTACACAGGTTATATAATAATAAAATGTCAATTAAAAGTTAAAATAAATGTACAAATTTTTAATAAAGTCAAAGTAATTGTTATAATAAAATAAAAATCATAAATGAAATAATTTGTGACCTGCTGTCATGATGGGCTAATCATTGATAAAGCTCTTATGCATGATGTTCATATGGCTAATGTTTATATTTTATACCACGAGCGCGAAAGTAATAACGTAGTTTTTTTTTTTTTTTTTAAGTTGGTTTCCAATCCATTTTATGCTTTTATTCTCTTAAATCTCATATGCTTCAGATTTTAGACTGGGTTTGATTGGGGCAGTTTTATCATTGTTTTATTTTTCAAATCATTGCTATCCTCTATTTACCTATAGTTTTTTTTTCTTATTTTTTTAAAAAAGCATTGTGATGAGAACTCTCTAAAATCAATTTTAAAACAATATGGTTATTTAATAAAATTACAGCTCAATGTTTGAAAGAGAAAAACCTCTAATGTCATTAAGTTTTTAAAATATATATTTTTCTCATAATAATTATGCAATTATTTTAACAAATAATTGCAAGCATTTAGGATGTTACATGTCAAAGGTATTCTAACACTATTATCACAGGAAAATCACAACTATATTTATATTCGTTGCATTGTCTATCTTGTCAAAGAGAGGACTAACAGCAGATACAGTAATCAAAGTGCTAAACTTTCTACCATTCTGTTTATATTAACATCATAATACAAGGAAGCCAAAATCCAGTGCTGTAATCAAGAATTTGCGGAACTTTTAAATGTTGCCTCACCTCATCAGGTAGCTCAGTTGTGTTACTTGTGAAAGCAATTGTATTCATTGCATTCACAGCTATGGACACCTCTCATCTTCCTGAGTTACGTAACTCCTAATCTATTAGTTGAGAGCTTTAATTATATTCATAAGTTATGTATAAGCAACTCAAGTATAGTTTAAGACACTCATTTAAGCTTAACTAATTAATCAAAATTTAATTCTACATGTCAAATCAGCTAACCAGCGGCTCTTTCTATGACAAAAACTAATTATTATTCCAATCCAGATAATTCTTATATTTAGGAAAAATAATAAAATACTAATTGAGATAACGAATAAAGACATAAATTTTATTAATTTAACACTTGAAACTAGATTTTTAATATATTATAAGTAAAATTAATATTCTTATTTTTTTAAAACGAACAAACTCAAATTATTTAATAGTCAAAGCTTAATCAAATTTGAACTCTGCAATTTATCACATGACTCATAAGTCCGCAATTGAGGAAATAAATCAACTTGACTCAATTAACCCTCAAATGTTTTTCATGAAAATTCTTCATTTCAGTAAGTTGTTGTGAAGAAATTAAGGATGCATCTACATTGACCTTTAGCCATTCGGGTGGAGGATGCCAAATATTTGCAGTCTATGTGACTGGTTGACATCCCAGTGGCCCATATTAAAATGGCTAGAGCTGCAGGATGTGTAACATATAGCATTTGAAGCAGTGAAGACCGGACTGTCTTCTACTGCTTCATGGATCCATTTCTTCGTAGCTTTCCAGGATAAAAATACAGCATTACATTATAGATTAAGGATCATCCCATCCTTCAAAGCAAGATTTTCCACCCATCTAACACAATCTTCAAACCTTTAAAATATGTGAATTCCAAATCCTCAATGGTTTAAGTGATGAATAACCTCTTTAAACTTATTGCATTTGCACGCAATATGCTCTACATCTTCTATCTCATTACATCCTCTAGGACAAATAGCATTGTCCAATAATCTTCTATACCATAAAAATTGAAGAGAAGGGATTGCATTTCTACTTAGTCTCCACCAAAACACATCAACCCGAGCACTATTTATCCACTTCCAATGCTGAAATTCCAAGCTCTCTTGCACCGATGCTCTAAAGGCCATTCCATAAATAGAAACTCCAGAATTTTGCTGAAGCAATTCAATTCGATCCTCCTCTTCTTCTTGTATAATTTTTACCTGTAGGATAAGATTAACTATCTCCCTACCAAAATATTCCAGCAGAACATTTTCATTCCAACTGTCGCCAACTATGAATTCTTTCACTAAGACAACCTCATCCCCTTGAGGAACAACAAACGTTGGCCATAATTTGATGCATTTATCCATTATCCAAATGTCTTTGAATGCATCCACTAACCAATACCCATCTAACAATTGGTTTCAATAAGTTACCACCGTCATTTATCAGCTTCCAAGAGGACGACCAGCATTTTCTAGTGGATCCCATGCCAAGCCTTTCACCATACCTACAAGCCATAACTTTATGTAAAAGAGATTCTTTATCCTGAGCAAATCTCCAAGCTAATCTAACTCTTAAAGCAGGAGTTTTTAAGACACTTGAATTCAAACCTCAGCCTCCCTTGCATAACGGTTTGCACAGCTCAAGCCAACTGACATAGTGAATGCCCATTGATCCATTGGCCTTGTTCCAAATGAAGCTTCTGCATATTTTATCTATTTCTTCCATAATTCTCTTTGGAACGAGGGAGTGCGTAGCCTGAAATGTAGGAATTGATAGCATAATAGATTTTACCAATGTCAACTTACCCGCCAATGATAAAAATTTGCTTCCCCAAATGTTGAGCATTCTCATATCTTTGTCTACAATAAACTGAAAATCATCACAAACAAGTCTCCTTAGAGCAATTTTCATTCCAAGGTAATAGAATTCTTTCACTGTTTTGAAACCCATAATACGAGAGATTGCTTTCTTCTTGTTTCTTCTCACATATTTGCCAAATAAAATGGCAGATTTGCTCAAGTTGCGCTGCTCCGACCATCCACAAAAATCGTATAAAATATTTCACTTCTTTAACAGCCCTTCTATTTTAGATGCTTTATTCCGAGTACATTTTTTATTACTAAGAGGTTGATTATGACTTCTAGCACCCTTAAACAGTCTCAAAAGTTACCTTCTTTTGCTTTGTTTTCTAATAAACATGGCAATCACTTATCAATCAATTAGCAGATCAATTATTTAATTAATAACTTACGATTAAACAACAAATTATCAGATCAGTACAACATAGACATGACGCCTTGATATAACAAAGCTTTAAAGCAATAAAGCATGCAAGCAACGAAGTAGCTTTCAAGCAAAAAACAAGAACATGTTCATTACATAAAAGGGCATCTAAACAGTTCTATAAAATAAATGAAACACAAGTCCAACTATGTTTAGATATATATATATATATATATATGGCCTCGTCGACCTAACTGGAAGACAACAAGAGAAAAAAAAATTGGGAAGAACTTTGTAGCATTTATTGAAAAACTCCAATCACAATATGTTAATGCCGAATGGAGGCTTGACCAAGGTTATGAAATTAGTCGCAATAAATAAAACACAAAATAAGGTAGCCCTTGACAACAAATGTGTTACTAAAAACCATGATTGAAATCAAAGCAAAACGAACAGGGCAATAAAACTCATCAAAATATCATACTAATAAAAATTGAAAAACCTGAAAAACTGCCAAATACAATATAGTGTTTACTAATAGAAAAATGTTTGATTTCACATTCAGAAAGGAAAGAGCTCAGACCCTGAAACCTCGGCTGTTTCTTCTGCCCCTAGCCTTCTCAAATTTTCTTCCCTTGGAACGAACATAGGGTTTAGTGTGGCTGTGCGGAACACCAGGTGCAGGCCCAAAGTGCTTAACAGCTTCCCTAGCATTCTTAGGTCCCCGTAAAAGAACCTGTTAAATAAACATGCAGAACGACATTTATGATGTCATTAATCAAGCGTAAATTAAAGAATATCTAATTAATTACAATGAACGAAAATACATAACCCAGCATATCTTACTGCGTGTCTAGAACAGAAATATATGTAGAGAAATCCGCATACATAAAGAAAATCGAACTCCTCAACAAACTCAGTTGAAGGACTACACTATTCAATGCACATTCAAACCCAACATTCAGGAAAACACCAACCAATTTCTGCCAACAATAACAATAACAACATCAAGACCATACTGTGAGGTCAGGTACATGAATCCTTTTTCTCCATTGTCATGTTAAGAATTAAATTCTCATTTAAATTCAATAAAGAAAAGTTATTTCTAATATTTTCTAACAAAATTTTTTTAGGTCTACCTCTATCTTTCTTAACATAAGACAAATCTAATGCATCTACTGTCCTCAACAGGTTATCATAAGGCCTACCAACCAATTTAAACCAAACAATACATAAAACCAAGGCATGGAGAAAGAAAACTGAAAGTACAAAATTATTAGAGATCCAATTCTTTAGGCTTCTCCAGAGGCTGCCAATAGAACAAAGGATTCCACTGATACATCATGCAGTATACCACAAAGTTGCCAGATTTGATTCATAAAAGCATAGTCTTCTTTGGTTCAGCTTTTGTATTTTTTTCCAGACATGAAATGCTACATGATGCCACCCATAACCACTAAAAAATCTGCGTTGACCTTGAAAAGTGGTAGGGGGTGAAACCTTAAAATGAGTCAGGCAATGTAAGATTACAATTTCCAAGAAGAGCCCTAAAACTAGCTTATGAGTCCATGTTTCAATCTACTACCGGAAAATGAGGAAATTATTGCGTCTATGTAATGTACACAATGATGCATACATTATTAGCACGAGTACACAGATACTCAGCCTATACATATGCAACGCTGCAGGTGTTATTCGGACACAATAATTTCCTCAGAAAAAGATCCCGCGTTACAATATTCTAGTACCATAAAACAGAAAAAAAGACGAAGCAAATGAAACCTAAACTGTAAAAAATAATATTAAGTGCAGGTGTCAAAAAAGAAAGCAAACTCCAACAGATGCCTTAATTCAAAATAGCACCATCACTGCTCATTCCACTGACATTAGAATGTGGAAACGAATATTGCAAATAAAGAAGCATGAACAACTTCAATAGAATAGCAATGATGCCAATATCCAATTTCCAGATCAAGTAAAAATGCTTCAGTACAAAACACACTAAACATTTTCAAGGATATGTGATTGTGACTAAAAAATATGTTTTTTAGAAGACAATTATTGCATTTTAATTTTCATTTATTTTATGGAATGAGAGAGAAAGCTACATCTGTCACCAATATTAAGGGCAATCCAACATCTATCATAATAACATAATATATAAGGCAGGAAAGGAGGAACACTACATAATATTATTAGACAGCATTGAGTTGCAGTTATTCTATTCAAGACAAAAAAAAAAAAACAAAGTATACAACATACTGGCTCTTTGTATTTTCAATTTTTTAAATAATTTTGGACTAAATCGCTTCCAATAGATTAACCCAACAAACAACCACTTCTCTCCATAAAAATGCAAAACCCACAAGCACCATCTCTCAAAGATCCAACGAACTTTCACCTCCATTCACCACCACCACCTCAAAATACACTACCAAACCAACAACTTCATCTTTTCAATTCCCCCCCCAACCCCAAGTTACCAACCCAACATCCTTATTTCTCTAAGTTCCCTCACTCCACAAAAAGACCCATCCCTCCCGCCTCCTCCAAGAATATTATGTGGGGCCAATAAACTTTTCAGCAAATCAAGAACCTTTCAGCTCTCTTGTTGGGCTCAGGGCCTCATTTATGACCTATAGGAGAGAAGGCTTTCGGGGAAGCTCTTTGGGAAAGATGTAAGGAACATTTATTATTTAGGGAGATTTAAATTCAAGATAAAGAGAGAAGTAGGAAAGTTTATATGATGATTAATTGGTTGTTTTATTTTATCATTTGTGTTTGTTGTAGTTTTCTTTGGAGTTGTTTCTAGCGGCACCTAGGTTTTGTGGAGAGCCGATATACCTCTTGAATAGTATATCAACTTGTATCTTGGTATGTTATGCTAAAATAAGCATCTTTCTAGCTAATTTTTGTTGTGTTTTATCTTGTTCTTGCTATTTTTGTTGTGTGGACGACAAATTCCTATCAAAATTAAAGCACAACTCGAGACCTATGCCACCGAAGAAAGTGAATGTTTTGAAAGAGAAATTAAAAGGAAAAGTTGGTCAAACCAAATCAAAAGTTGAGGAAAAGATTTCATCCATGAAAGGAAGGTTTTCTAATCTAAAGGACAAGATAAAGAAAATATTGGAGAGCTTCACACCCAACTAGCAACATTTGAGGCGAGGGCATCAGCGGTTGGCCAAGGAAGTGGGAGAAACCCTAATATCGGCACAATGCGGGCTGATCAAGAGGTCGAAATCTTGGGTGAAAGAGAAAATTTTCCAGCTCTTGAACCGATAACCAGAAGAGAAATGGATGAAGGATATAACTGAGAAGAAATTGGGAGGAAGAAACAAGGAGGGTTGATTTTGAGGAAGAGGATATCTATGAAAGGAAAAGGAAAGCGAGAGAACAATTGAGAGATCACAACAATCGCTATATAGGAGTCGGAGGTGGAAGAGGAAGTTGGGGCGGAGGGGATACAAGAGTGAGAAAGCTGAAGATATCAGTTTTTGAGAGGGAAGATGCTCATGGGTGAATCTATAGGTTGAAGAAATATTTTGCAGTGAATGGGTTGACGAAAGAGGAGAGATTCACGGCGACGGATTTATGCTTGAAGGGGAAGGTCTTGTCTTGGTATCAATGGAGATACATGAGAGATCCAATCCGATAGTGGAGGGAGTTCAAAGATAATTTATTAAAACGTTTCCGAACCAGTTGGGAAGTAGACTTCAACTAGCAATTCTTTGCTCTGGTTCAAAAAGGGATAGTGATGGATTATCGAGATAGATTTGAGTACCTTTGTAGATAATTGGGAAGGCTATCTGAGATAGTTTTAGAGGGAAATTTCATGAAGGGACTCAAGCCAGATATCAAGGATATTATTCGCTTATTAAGGCCATGAGGGTTGGGGGAAGCTATGGAGCTAGCCCAATTGATGGAAGAGAAAAACTCACTTGAGAAAAGCATCAAGGGCAGCAATTTGGTAACTTCATAACGTACAACGATTGCTTTTTTGCAACAAAGGTACCAGTCTGTGCACATTCAAAGAAAAATACCCAAGGAAAGGAGATTGGGAGCATGGCCAAGGGTTGATGGTGACACTGCAGGAGATCCAAGTGAATGAGGATTTTCCTCCCTTGGTGTTAGGGAACATAGACGTAATTTTGGGCATAAAATGTGGACTGGAAAGCATTGACTGTGGAATTTATGATGGGAGGGAGGTAAGGATCAGGGGAGGTCCTATTTGTCCAAAACCAGGGTTTCTCTTAAGACCATGGCGAGGGCAATCCAGAGAGCGGGGATGAGATTCTTGGTGAAACTCCAGAGCCTCGAGGGAGGGGGAAGCATGGAGAGGGAGGGAGAAGTTCTAGAGATAGTCCAACCACTACTATAACAATTAGGTGAGGTGTTACAACTGCCTCAGTGCCTACCTCCCCCAAGGGATATCCCCTATCAGTGTTCAACCTTACCGATACCCACGGGTTTAGAAATATGAAATTGAGAGATTAATCAAGGAGATGTTGGAGGCCCATATCATTCGTCTCAATGTTAGTCCCTTCTCCAATCCTATGTTGCTAGTGAAGAATAATGATGGTAGTTGAAAATTTTGTGTAGTTTATCACGCTCAAATAAGAAAATAGTGTTGGATAAGTTTCATATACCCGACATTGATGAGTTGCTAGATGAATTATATGGAGCGGTGACATTATCCAAGATTGATCTAAAATTAGGATACCATCAAATCAGAATGCGGTCTGCTAACATCCATAAGATAGCTTTCAGGACTCATGAAGGTCACTACGAGGTTTTTGTAATGCCTTTTGTGCTTCCCAATATTCCAACTACCTTCTAGTCACTATGAACAAGGTATTTGAGCCCTATCTCCGCAATTTTTAATTGGTTTTCTTCAATGATATTTTGGTGTATAATCAGTCTAAGGCAGAGCATGTGGAGCACTTGAGAGTCGTGTTAGTAACATTAAAGCCTAAAGGAGCGTCAATTTTATGCCAATTTGAAGTGTTCTTTTGCACAAAGGGTGGACATGTGGTGTCTAAATCAGGAGTAGTTGAAGATCTTTTCAAGATAGAGGTTATATTGAAGTGGCCCTTACCCCAAACTCTGAAAGAGTTGAGGGGGTTCTTAGGACTCACTAGGTATTACAGAAAGTTTGTAAGGGGATACAGCTCTATAACATGGCCATTAACAAAACAATTAAAGAAGGATAGTTTCAAATGAGGGGAAGCAACCACCCAATGCATTTGAGTAGTTGAAGAAAGCCATGACGAATGTCCTTGTGTTAGCACTAGATTTCAGCAAGCCATTTGTAGTAGAGATTGATGCATCGAGGTATGGGTTAGGAGCAATTCTCATGCAGAATCAAAGATCCATAGCTTATTTCAACCAAGTGTTGACTACGATAGCCAAGTTGAAATCAGTGTATGAAAGGGAGCTGATGACAATTGTATTGGCAATATAGAAATAGAGACCTTACCTATTGAAGCGACACTTCATAATCAAGACCAACCAGAAAAGTTTGAAGATCCTGTTAGAATAGAGGATGGTGACATAGGAGTATCAATGGTGGCTTTCCAAATTGTTGGGTTATGACTTTGAGATTCAGTACAATCTCGGGCTAGAAAATAAAGCTACAGATGCTCTCTCCAAGCATAATGAAGACCCTCAAATTACGGCTCTATTTGTTTCCATGGTATTGGATTGGGAGGCCTTGAAGCATGAGAGCGAGCAGGA